TTCAGCCAGCTTCCAGCTCAGCATGGTAAGCTGGCACAGGAATCTCCCCGTGGTTTCTGCCTATAGGAAGGAACCTTTGTTGCAAGAAATCCATTGGCAGCGAGCGGGCCTGGAGACCATGGACAAGGCGGCGCAGCGCTTCCGGCTCCAGGTGACCCTCCGGGCGGGGTGGACCTGGATTCGGGGAGCTGGGGACGGCCGGCTCGCCGGGAGCGGGCGGGCGGGCCGCGCAGGTGTACGCCGGCCCCCGACTTCTCCCTCCCTCATCCCTGCCCTGATGCCCTTTCTCATGCTGAGCTCGATGGGCCTCCGGGAGGAGGAAGCCAAACTCGGCTGAGGCTATCGCCATACCGATCCAAGAGGAGCTTGGTTCTGAACCAATCAATCCCCATTGCTATCAGAACGCTGTAACGCGGCGCCGAGAACCAATGGGATGCTGGTGTTGACTCAGGGTGGAGGACTTTGGAATGGTCTTAGCACTTTGTGATATCCCGGGGCGTCAAGAGAGCTGGTGAACGTGCACCCAGGGAGCATGAAAGAGCCTGGCTCAAATGCACTGGGTGTTGTTGGGAAACGCCTGTCCAGAAGGGAAGTCCTCCCAGCTTCTGCCTGTCCAACACCTCTCAAAACCCTTCCATGAACAGACTTTGTTCGAGCCTTTTACTGGGTGATCTGCAAACAAATTTGCTTTTTTGCTTGCACTGTCTTGGATCTTATCAGTGTGTGTGTGTGTGTGTGTGTGTTTGGGAGTGGAGGAGGGAAAACTGGGGGAGCCAGAAAAAGTCTGTAGAAGAGGAGGCTTTCCCTTCAGGAGAACAAAACTCGAGTCCCAGTTAGAAGCCCAAATGCTGAAGAAGAGAAAGCTTGCTACTGTAGGCATTTGTAGGATCTGACACGTGGGAAGACTTCCTCCATGGTGGGGCTAGCAGGAATCAGGAGGCTATTCCTAGGTGAAAGGCAGGAAAATGGTTTTACTGAAAATTGCATTTAACAAGTGCTCAGCAGCAGCAAGTGATTTTTCGAGTTGGAGAAGAGCTGGAACTAGAACTCGGCCCAGTGCCACTCCCTAACTCAATGCAAGGGAGAGAGATTAGGGAGAATGTACCTTCAATGCCAGGCATAGCCTGTGTCGGGGAATGTGGGTGAAGTTTTGGCTGCCGGTAATTGTTTATGTTTATTCCACATCATCCCTAAGTCTTATTGATCAACTGATTGATTGGCTGATCGATTGAAATAAAAAATATTGTCTTGAGCCAGGCACTGGTGGCTCACACTTGTAATCCTAGCTACTCAGGAGGCTGAGACCTGAGGATCGAGGTTCAAAGCCAGCCCAGGAAGGAAAGTCTAGGTGATTGTTATCTCTAATTAATCACAGAAAAAGCCAGAAGTGGAGCTGTGTTTCAAGTGGTAGAGCACTAGCCTTGAGTACAAAAGCTCAGGACAGCACCCAGGCCCAGAGTTCAAGCCCCAAGACTGGCCAAAAAAAAAAAAAAGTAAAATAAAGTGGAGTCTATTCCGGTTATCAAGCTGTCTGGAAAGTCCATCCACAGATTTTAGGATTCTGTCTTCCCAAGTTGGAAGGGTCTCAGTGTTCAATCCAAACTGACCATTTTCTCTGCCTTCTTTTTTTTTGGGGGGTGGGGGTGGGGTTGGTTGTGGAGCCTGAACTCTGGACCTGGGCGCTGTCCCTGAGCTCTTCAGCTCAAGGCTAGCGCTCTACCACTTGAGCCATAGCGCCACTTCTGGCTTTTTCTGCTTATGTGGTGCTGAGGAATTGAACCCAGGGCCTCATGCATGTAAGGCAAGCACTCTACCACTGAGCTACTTTTCCAGCCCTTAACTTGGTTCTTTAAGAGGGAAAATTACCTATTGGATTTCTGGTGACTGGAAGCATCTTGGTTTGCACAGTCAGCAAATAAGAAGTTTCAATTTCTCTAACTCTTTCCCCTTTTTTTCTTTGTCTCTTTTGAGAAGGTTCTCTACATATTGCCCAGGCTAGTCTCTTAACACACCTCAAATGATTCTGCCTCAGATACCCTGATTGTAGAAGTGAGTCACCATGCCTGGCTAAGAGGTGAGGGTCTTGATTACAAAAACTCTGTAGGTCTTTGAGGGTGGGTAGAAAGTGAGCCTTCAAGCTGAACTCAGCCCAGCCTTGGGACCAGCTCTTCTTTAAGGCATCCTGTGGGTGTGCCCTGACCTTTCTAGATGAGAGGAAGGTGAGACAGGAGCCTGTCTTAGCAGCCTTTCTTCTGGGACCTTCTCAGCTCAACATTGAATAGAAAGCAGGACCCTAGCTGCTAGAAGCATGTAAGTGTGTAGTACAGTCCCCTCCCCACCCCAGATGCTAGACAAAGCTGGGGGAGGGGAGGGGTGACACAACCTGAGCATCTCTGAGTTGCCACAAAATGGTTCCCTCCCACGCTCTGGAGCAACTCCAGAGGTGTGCTTCTGATAACTCCTGCCAGGGTCAACCATGGAGGCTTATCTGCAACAACCTTTCACCCAGCCTTTCACTTGTTCCACTTGGTTAGAGTAAGGGTTGCCAAAAGGAAACTTCCATGCAGTTCAGGCAGAAGAGGGTTTATGGAGAGGGAGAGGGAGGAGCCAGTTGTGCTGGTTTCAGCACAAGATAGAGGCTTTGCCCTTGTCTGGCCTTAGCACGAAAGGCATTCAAGAGGGGCAGGGAGGGCCTGGACAGGGCTGCAGTTAGGTTCCTTGTGTGTTCTAGGAGAAAGGGATGAGCCTGGATAAAGGTCTTGGTAGAGAGGTGGCCATTTTCCTGAGCTATTCAGAGAGCTTGGTGAGTGACGTGGGTGCGTGAGGGAGGGAGGAGGCGCCAGGACTGATTCTCACCTGATCATCTGCAGAGAGGATCACGCACCTGCTTGGGGGAGGTGCTGAGGAGGAAGAGCTGGGGAGGAAGAGCCATTGAGAGTGGGGGAGTGAGGACCTCAGGGGGAAGGATGTGGTGGCTAGGGGCAGGTGACAGGAGTAGCTTCTGGTGAGCTGCGCCTCTGGGCTCACTGTATCAGGCTGGCTAGAGGCTGAGGGGGTGCTGGGTGTGTGGAGGGCCTGGAGAGAGTCAGGGCATTTGGGGGAGGGACTAGGGAGAGGGAGTGGACAGGGAAAGTCTTACTCAACGTTTCCCTCTCATGGCTGGCACTCTATCACTTGAGTTATATGTCCACTTCTGGCTTTTTGCTGGTTAATGGGAGGTAAGAGATTTGTCTGCCTGGACTGGCTTTGAACTGTGATTCTCAGATCTCAGTCTCTTGAGTAGTTCGGATTATAGGTGTGAGCAGCGCGCTGGTTGCCAGGCTTCCACTTTTTTTTTTTTTGAAACAGGCCTGGAACTTGCAATCCTTTTGCCTCAGTATCCCCAGTGCTGAGGTCTGCGGCTCAGCTAAGACAGTTTCCTCATGTCTACCACAGCAGTTCATCTGCTGGCTCACCTTACCATGACCTATGACTAGCTTGTTTACTTGTTTGGATGCTGGCTGTCTGAATGTAGAGACCTTATCTTATCTCTTACTTCTGAATGCTCTGCATTCAGAATGGCACAGTTTGCTGACTGACTAAATGAGCGAATGTCAGAGTTAGCAGTGGAGGAGCATAAGAGAAACCAGCAGAGTATATCATCTGAAGAGAGCAGCCTGTGGCTTCAGCACCTCAGAATGCCTTTGTGAGCCCTGGAGAGAGAGAGAGAGTCAAGTATCTATTGGATCTGACAACAGAAAGTCTCTGGTGACCTTGGCAGGAGTAGGGAGGTGGGGTAATCAGCCAGAACTGTGACTCTGTCTTCACTAATTGGTCCAGTACTCCTGGGGAGGAACAGCTAGGTGTTTGCAAGTCAGAGCCTCACCCCAGAGACCTGGAGCCTTGGAGGCCTGGCAGGCAGATGTGGGATGCCCAGCTCTCTCAGAGAGCAGTTCCCTGCTGCTCTGCCCAGATGTGGCATCTAATGACAACCCTGTTCAAATGCTTTCTTTTCTTTCTCTCATCTGGAAATCATATTTTTGTTTACCATATTGTCTTCTTAAGTTTTCCATTAGAGAAATAGAGTGTTTGAATATTATACTCTTTAATTCTAGTTATAGCACAGCTAGTTACAGCTCACATGTTAAAACTCCTTATTTTAATTTCTCTATATAGTTTTCTTAAGCATCTTAACATTGACTTCTGCTATGCCCCACCCCTGCCCTGCTTAAGCTTGTGTGGGCGTGGCTTCTCGTTTGCTACTGTTTCCATGTTGGGTTTAGTTCTGGGTCCAGGGCAGCCACTGCATCCATGTCTGCAGAATGAATGTATAAGGTCTCCGTTTGGGCTATGCCTGCAGCACGTCCCTCCTAGGGGTTGAATGCAGGTAGGTGGCTGATGGACAGGCTGTGTAGGCAGCCAGAGCACTGCTGCTTGCCATCACGGTCTGGGGTGAGGTACTCTTTTGTTTCTTTATCTGTTCAATGGAAGTGATAGTAAGTATAATTTAATCAAAACATGGAAGGCATCCAGGCATGGTGCTGAAGGCCTGTAATCTCAGCTACTTGAGGCAGGAGGATCTTGAGTTTAAGGCAACATAACTGAGGTGGAGGGGGGAAGGGGGGGGAGGGGGGAAGGAGAAGGATTGGGATGGGGGGGAAGGGGGAGGCTGGGAAGGGATGGGAAGGGTAAACAAAGGAGGAGGCTGCAATGCTTGGTAAGAAATGTACGCATTATCCTGCCCATGCAATTGTAACCCCTCTGTACAGTATGTTCACAAATAAAATAAAAGAAAATTAAAAAAAAATAAACCCAAGTGCCTCAGCACAGTGCCTGGCATGGTAGGCAGCACTGACTGAGGTTGTTTGCAATGCTCAGTAATCAGCCTTCTCCTCTCCAGCCCCTGCAGCATGCCCCACCCACCTCTAGCAGGCTTCCAGAGGTGACATCTGCAACAGCCAGGAATGGCAAGGGTCCTGTCTCTGCTGTCAAGTTGTGGGTGGGCATGTCTGTCATGGGTTGGCATGTGGTGGTGAGCATCTGCTGGGTAAAGGTGGAGCCTGAGGGGTATGGGCTGCATGTGTCTGCTGCAGGTGTGGGAGCTTTTGGGGCGAGGGGGA